CAGCTGTATGCACACAGGGCTCCTCAGGCATGGATATTCAGTGTGTGACAGTCCAGAGAACAGTGCAGAGGAGCAGGGATAGGAAGCGTGGTTCTACTCTTTTTTAGACAACAAGATGTGGATGCAGATGTCTGAAGAAGGCTCCTGTGTTAATGCCAGAGCTTGGCAGTATTTCGTTTTTCATTCTGTAAGAATAGTGGCCATATTGACTGGGGGATGTTGGGAATTCTGTGTTTTGTGTGTGTGTGTATGTGTGTGTGCGCCTTCAAGTAACCTTTCAGCTTATGGTGAACCCATGAATTTCATAGGGCTTTTTTAAGGCAAATAATACTCCAAGGTAGTTTTTCCAGTTCCTTCCTCTGAAATATAGCCTACAGTAGCACCTGGTATTTGTTGGCAGTCTTCCACCCAAGTACTAACCAGGGTTGACCCTGCTTAGCTTCCAAGATCAGATGGGATCTGGTGCCTTTAGGGTACTTAGGGTCCCTTTTGTGAACTGTAGTCCAAAGGAAATAACTTTTACAAACTCTGATTACCACTTCTAAGTGTGAATATTGTGTGCAGTCAAGAACAAATTGTGGTTGTCACAGAGGACAGTGCAGTCTGGACTGCATGATCAATTTATCTAGGTAACTACGTACACCAGTGTAAAAGTATTCATGCACTGCTGTTGACATAGCAGAACATAGGAATCCTGGTGCTAATTGAATCTAAGCTCCTATTGAATATAAAATGTCCCCAAATGCTTGGGCCACCTAGCACAACCTGAGAAAATTATAGGAATGCTGGCCAGATGTGCATCTGTGCTTTTATGGCATCATCAGCTCAGAGTCTGGAAAATATTCCCTTTTTGGGTTATGTCTTCTGAACCCTATAGCCAGCATGGTGACTGGCTATGCTATCTGGGGAATTCTGGGGCTTATAGTCCAAGAAAACAACTTTTCCAGGCTCTGCTCCAGCCAATACCCACACCCTATCCTTCAATTTGTGGTGAGTGGCAAGATTCCAACTTAAGGAATTAGCTAACAAGTCAATTGACTCAACAGGGCCACCATGCAAGTAGATGCCTTCATCCTCAGAGGCGTAAAGCTAGTTCTGACAGAGAAAGGAAACCACTTACCCAGCAACAGTGATTGCAATAGAATGATCTGCAGTCATAGTTTAAAAACATTGTGGAATAAATTTCCATTAAAATTTATTCGACAAAGCAGGTTGTCTAAGAAAGCACATATGGAGGCAAGTCATAAAGAGGATAGAGAAAGTGAGACAGGACCATTTTGGTTAACTACAGAAGAACAAGCAGGGCAGGGAATAAAATTGGAGGGAGGTTGGCATACAGAGCAGATGGAGGCAGAAGAGATCTGATAAAAGATGGAGGCAGAAGAGATCTGATATGATCTTGGAAGGAAAGCAGGATCAGGGCTAGTTAGTAGTTGTAAGGAAGACCAACAGGGAATATCTGGTGCTTTAGGCTATCTTCAGAGAAAGGCAATAGCAAAACACCTCTTGAGTATTCCTCGCCTAAAACAATCCTATAAAATTTATGTGGTCATCATAAGTTAAGGGGTAACTCTGATGGTACAGGACATACTTTTCTTTATAAGTCATGAAGAAACAGCACTTCAGAGGACAAAGTGAGACAAAGCTAGAAGGCACAAGGGAAGTGAACCTGGGTTTGGCTTTTACCTCCACCAGTGGAATCCATTTCTTCATCCATTTCCACTACACAGACTGAAGGTTTTATTCCAACTCCGTTTTTTCTGATCTTAACATGCCCATATGCTCACCTGATATCAGCATAGCTAAACTGTAGCAAAACTTGGGGTTAATCCAATTTTCTCTCCTGTTTTGACACTGGCTGATGATTCAGAAAAAACGGCTGGTTACAAGAGGAGAAGCTAAGCAGCTCGTTGCCAGGTTGCTTTCTTACTGAGAATTTCTTCCTTTCTTTCTTTCAACTTATTTTTGGTTGAACTCTTTCCCCAAGAGTACTTTGATTCTCTTTATCTAGTGTGAAATGTAGTCCCAGTATTGACTCAGCTTGCCATTATACCAAATCTTATAGATGAAAGCTGCTTCACCTCTAGGCAAAAACAGAAAACATTAGCTAAGTAGATTAGACCTTGGGAAACATTACTATTCTGGAGTAAAGCTACCATTGTTTTTTCCACTGCCAGTAGTCATGCTAGCTGGGAGGTTCTGGTTTCTGTAGTACCAAAGGTAATCTTTTCAAGTTCTGACCAGTCTAGCATTAAGTGCTTCACTTTGTGGTGGTACAGGTCTCCAGTTCATACACCAAGCAAACTCTCGTTGCTGGTATGTGGGAGAAGAGAGCATTGTCCATCACAGGCTTTTGGAGAAAGGGCTGTAGCTCAATAAGTTCTTATTTTAGATATAAAAGGCCACGGTTTACTCCCTGTCAGCTGCAGGTATGGCTGGCAAAGATTCCTGTCTTCTTGAACACCTGGAACACTCCTGTTACTTGATAGACCAGAGTGGAAATCATGTGGCCTTTTGAACTGCAGTTTCCAGGAGTCTTAACTAGCATAATTGATGGTGAGGAATGCTGGAACATCCAGTCCAACAGCTTCAGGAGGGTTGCATGATTCCCACCCCTTCGTTAGACAAAACTGAGCTAGATGGACTGGTGCACTGACTCAGTTTAGGGCAACTTTGCAATTGGCCACTTGCAAATAACCAGAAAAGGTGATAAAATAGGGTTCTAATTGGCATAACATTTACATGCTTGTTTATATTATAAATGCAAATGTATAAATTGCAGTAATTTAAATAGAAATACACTTCATCCTACTCAGAGCTTGGATAGGTTAATTAGTCCTTCACTCCCAGAATCCTCCCACCAGCATGGCCTGAGAGATGTCATCCTAAAAAGTAAATTTCACAGGCTCTCGGCTATGCCCTCTCATCTGTCATCTGAGGCACGAAAATGCCTTAAATTGGCTCTGCACTCCATGCCTTGTGTATGAAGGGACAGATGGCCATGCATATGCACAATGAACCACAACAGATTCCAAGGCATGTTCTGTGTCTCTCATATGGCACATCACATCACATTAGCACATTGACTGCACAAATGGTTCTGTTGGAATTTCCAACCCTTTGGCCCTGTACCCACCAATTCTGGCAATTGGCCATGAGGAAATAATTCTGGCAGAGCCTCTCTACTTTGGGCCAGCTTGGTGGAATTTTCAGGGTATAAAATATTTACAAGGTAAGAGCCCAAATGTTTGAGGACGCTATGGTAGTCCTATGATGGCACAACCCTGAGCAAAAGTCTGGTATTTTAGGGAAAATGGAAGGGACTGTTTGAAATATCCTTTCCCCTTCACGTTTTACTTTCCTGCTGAAGCTTCACAAGACAAGGCTGTCGAAGGGAGGGAAGAGAAAATTTGACTAAATATAGCTCCTTCTTTTTAAAAAAACTGAAATAAATCGCAGGCTCTAAATTTAACACAATACCTTTCACATGGAGATTTTTCTTTGGTTTTGGTGACACGTGAGCTTGCCTGCTGCTGCCTTTTATCTTTGTTCCTGGGGAGTGAGGTGGGGAGAGGCACTGATTATTTTTAAATTAACAGCTTTGATTTATACAGGCTACAGTGACTTAAATCAGAGTTTAAACATTGAAATAGTCCTTATAAGGCATCCCAAGGAAAAATGCATGTAGGAAATATGCTATGCCCTACCCAAAGTGACTGCTATAACTGGACACCCTTGGCTGAGGCCCTTTCTTTCGGTTGCTGTTGTTGCGTGCCTTCAAGTTGTTTATGACTTCTGGCGACCCAAAGGTGAATCTGTCATGGGCGAGTTTCTTCAGAAGGGGTTTGCCTTTGCCTTCCCTTGAGGCTGAGAGCATGTGACTTGCCCAAGGTCACCCAGTGGGTTTCCTTGGCTGAGTGGGGATTCGAACACTGGTCTCTAGAGTCATAGTCAATGCTCACACCATTATACTATGCTGGCTCAGCTTTTCTTTCAGTCCCTGTCCAGAAAACAAGTATTCTTTCTTCATACCACTCAGAGGCTTTGATAACTGAATGTGGTTTATGTTTCTTTCCCCAATAACAGGAGTGGGGAATGGTGGAAAACTAGGGGGGATGCATTTGCCCTCTAAGAGATCCTTTCAAAACCAAAGAAAATTATTTTGTTTTGTTCCCCCAAATCCTCTATGGGTCATGGGGGCATGTTTTTGGTCCTTCCCCAGAGGGCATTTTGAGACATTCTATCTCTGTGTGTATGAGTGTATCTCAAAATTTTGTTTTGATCTCTCATGGGTTGCGGTGGTGGTGGTCCCAACCCTAAGGCAGACCTGCCATGTAGAAATGCCCCAGAGATAATTTTTGGACATTTTGGAGCAAAAACCTTTTGACTGGTAAGGGACACTGAGGCCCACAAAATCTGCCCTGGGGGGTTCATACAGCTCTCAGGCACTTTATCCACCCCTGCTTTACAACATTAGAACTGTTATCCAGTGTCATCCCTTCTGCATATATGTAGAAGATGAAGATAATGAAGGATATGGTGCTTCATGTTCAGGATTTGTCTTCGATGGAACTTATTCCATTCCAATTGAGCCTGATCCATCACTGCTTTAAAGAAGGCAGTCGAGGCAAAGGCTACTTTGGAGGCTGCCAGTTGCTAAAACTAGCAGCCTATAGCTCTGTACAAGTTGGTGTACTTCCTTGAATAATGATGGCTGGTTCACTTCAAAGCTTTCGAATTAAAGCTTCCATAGTATCCCAGCCAGCTTTGGCAGTAGACAAGCTAACTGGGGAACTTTGGGAACTATAGTCCACAAAAATTATATTCCTAAACTCTGGATCATGTCTGTAAGAAGGGTGCTAGAAAACTTCCTGAGCAATGATCGCTTTCCCTCCATGGCTGCCTATGATTCAGTCCTACAATAAAACCAGGCCATTTAATAGATGTGTTTACTGTCCATATTTTAAGGGGAAAATACACTATCCAGCACCTTCTTGAGAGTCAATGTGGTCTAGTGGTATGAGCGCTGGGCTGCAACTCTGGAGAACAGGGTTTGAATCCCTGCTTGGCCATGGAAATCCACTGGGTGACTTTGGGCAAGTCACATGCTCTCAGCCTTGGGGGAAGGCAATGGCGAACCTCCTCTGAACAAATCTTGCCAAGAACACCCCATGATAGGTTTTCTATAAGTCAGAAACAACTTGAAGGCACAGAACAACACGACACCACCAACACTTTAATGATTACAGTAAGAGAGCTGAAACAAAAAGGTATTAAGGTGTTTCAGAGGCTACGCTGTAATTGTGAAAGGGCCAAGGCATGACAGTTACTGTTTGGGGAGCTTCTTAGACATGACGTTATATATATACTATTTACATTAAACTGAGACATACAGTGGATGAAATTGATACAACTATTGTAAAATAGGGGAAAACGTTTCATTACACAATTTCCAGAGTTACCCATGTTAATCTGTCTCAGCAAAACCAACAGTCTTATAGCACTTTTAGGACTAATACAGTTATGATGGTTGTAATTCATCTGGTGTCCAATGAAACTGACTAAAGGCATAAGTCAGTTAAGGAAACCTGTGACAAAGAAGCTCCTTTTTACCAAGTCTTTTCTATTCCTGGATGCTTTATAGAAGAAGCATCTATAAGTGGTCCCAAGAAGGAGTGTGTGTGTGTGTGTGTGTGTGTGTGTGTAAATTAAACCAAGGTTGTTGCATTTCTCATATGCATATTGATAATTTTGGATAAAAAGTTTACTGAAGCATGAACTTTTTTTGTAGTATGGGAACCTATCCTTATTCTTTCCGTGTTATTTCACCCTCTGGTACCAACTATGCTCAGGAATACATCTGTTTTGTTAACTGAAGTATACCTACATAGTCCGCAAAAGATTATGCTAGGGGTGAGCAATTTGGCCCTCCAGATGCTTTATACCTGCAAGATTCATGATCAGCCTTAACTAGCCTAGCTGATGGTAAGGGTTGATCAGAAATGCAGTTCAAAAACTTTTAAGAGGATCACAGTTATGTTCCTCTCAGCTTATGTCATAATAAATGTGTCAGCCTTTAGGATTCTTTGTTTCTGTTTTGAGTTGTACAATGGAACATAGCATTTGGAAGAAGGCACGATAAAAAGGAGATAAATGACATGGGAAGACATGACAGAAAGACCAAAAATATCAGTAATATGAAGAAGGTAGAGAATGGGAGAACATAAGTGACCACCTCCAAAGATACTTCTATATTAGTGGAAGAGGATCCATAGCCTACCAGATGTTGATAAACCAGTACTTCTGTCTTCCTGCACCATTGGCCAGCTTGGCTAGAGCTAATGGGAACAGGAGTGCAACACTCTCTGGAGGGCCACAAGTTGTTCAGCTCTGATCTAAATAGATATTCAAATGCTAAGAATATCTTCTGCTTATGGGCTTTCTGGAAGCATCTTGCTGTGTCCAGTTGAAAAGAAGTTGCTGGACTAGGGTTGGGTTACATTTTGCTCTCTATATATTGTTGGGCTACAACTTCCATTATCCCTGCCTGTTGGTCATGCTACTTAGGGCTGAAGGGTTTTGGAATTCAGCATCATCTGAAAGCCCATAGGTTCCCTATGTTGGTTTGATCCATCCATCCAGTGTCAATCTGCTTTCACCTTTATACATTAGCCCTAATCTGTAAAAAGTTCATCACTGCTAAACCATTATTGAGATCATTAGAAGTTAGCCACAAACCACTTGTCCTCTTTATATCAAGTGGATTTTCTGATAACTAACTTCTTTTTCTGTTTAAAGATTTATGTAAATTAAAGAGATGGAAAAACTAATACACATTTGTAATTGCAACATTTCCCCACATCATGGGTTCTGACAAGCATCACAACCATTGGTTCTACCACAGCTATACATCTTTCACTAGCCCAGCTATCATCTGACTCTCTCTCTCTCTCTATCTGATAACCTACCTTCCTCCCAATATGGGAAATATATTTCTTCAGTGCATTGTTTCCACCAACTTTTTATTTGTACAGCAGGTTCCCCTGCTGGTCGTATAACATCCCTAGTCTTGGTTTAAATTTTTCTTTGATTTCTCAGATCTTGTGGAAGAGGTCTCTTGTTCTTCCTTTTTTGTTGTAATCATCTATGTCTCTGCATTGATTGTTATAGTACAGGGGTAGGCAACCTTTCCCCTTTAAGGGCCGAGGAACTTCAGCTCCCAGAAGCCTCAGCCATGTTGGCCAATAGTCCCATGTTAGCCAATAGATCCTGGGATTCTGGGAGCTGAAGTCCCTTGGCCCTTAAAGGGGAAAGGTTGCCTACCCCTGTTATAGTATTTCACTTTGTCCCTGTGCACAAGTCACTGAACAGTTGCATTCAGGGTTTTGACCCTATTTCTGCCATCTTTTACTTTTGCTTCTTGTTTATCTTTAACTGTTTGAAGAGTTTCATCTGTCTTTTTGTATTCCTCCCTGACAGTATCCCTGGCTTCAGTCTAGAGTACTGGCTCCTGGTGAATTAGGCTTAACCTTTCAAATTTATTTTTACATTATCTTTACATTCTACAGTTATATTATTCAGGTTGTATTTTGGCACAATGGTTTGTTTAGTATTTTTATCTTTACTCTAATTGTTGATATTAGTGGCAGTACTCCCCTGAATATCTTAAAATTTGAGCAGGCTTGTATGGGAAGATAATGGTCTTTCAGGTTGTCTGGACTCAAGCCAGATAGGGCTTTCTAGGTCAAAACCAGCATTTTCAGTTGTCCATGCCCAGGAGGGCTTGTGATAATGCAAAGAGGCAATCAATAATTCCTAGTCTATGCCCTTAATGGTTGCCTCTCCTCATTATCACAAGCCCTCCTGCCCCAAGAGGTCTATCCTCAGTTCAAATGGCTGTCTATTCATTCATCCATCAAAGAATGGGTTCCTTTTGAAGGATCCCTTCCCTTTTGTTTGGAGTGATGCCTCTCTTCTCTAACACTTCTTTTTCTCTCTGTGTGTAGAGCTGCCACCCTGAAATTGGACTACTATTTGTTCCTGTTATAGTCCTAAAGGTCTCCAATTTTAGGAGGAACCTACTTCTTCCTTGAGGAAATTATTGGTGCCTATTCCACTGAGGACACACCCCACAACTGCTGTCCAACAGGCCCATTATCACACACAATGACCCTCAGTGGAACAAGATAGATACTCCTCCACTCTCACTGCTGCTGGCTTTCAACCTGCATAGCTGTTTTTTTTTACTAATACTTTTTTTATTTTGTTTTGTTTAATATGTAGTATTAAGTTATTGGCCAGCAGAAGGCATGGAAGAGCTAAGTGTCTTGCCCGCCTTCCCTCGTTGCCAGTGGCATCACTAGGGGGTGCGGACCACACAAGGGGGGTGACACCACTGGTCCTCAAACATTGCATTTTGGCAGAAAGAGGCTGTGAATTCACCTGTGTCCCATTAAAATGCTGAAGAGATGGGGTGAGTGAGGTGAGGCTCAGTGGGAAGAGAAAGGAGAGGCCCCAGGTTTTTTTAAAAATTCAAATTTCAAAAATTATTTTTTTTAAAAAAATAATTTTTATTATTTTAAAATTGTCTTTAAAAACATCACATTTTACCAAATTTTCACTTTAAGCACAGGAAACTATGTATATGTAAATACATTTAGGCCGTGCATATAATATTGTAATTTACAGTCATCCCTCCATATCTGCGGATTTGATTATTCACGGATTGTATTAATATGTTCTCTCTAGAAATATCTAGGTCATCCAGTGTAACTCTATGGTCAACTTTAACCAAAGGTCACCCTGAAGGAGCTAGAGATTCCTAGAGAGAACACTTCACTAGGCATTTGTAGCTCCTCC